AACCTTAAACCGCATAAACACATTGCATTACACCAAATACACCAAATAATGTTCTTTTTAGCAACATCATATGACCCCTTTAAATAATTAATGTTCTTTTTTTGTATTTTAGTGTAATAGTTGACTGCTCAATTTGTTAGTAATTAGAAGCATTTTCTGTGCCAAATATTGTTTCTAAAAAGTAAATTAAACTGATTTTGCTTTTAGAGTGTACACTATATACAGTCCATTGCTGCACACATCAGTATTAGCTAAATAAAATCCATAGAAAACTAGAAGACTTAGCATATTTTTGATTGCTTATATTTTATATTGCAAACTGTTCTTTGCTTATCTATACTACTTATTTCTTATATATTACCATTTTTTATGTAGTTTTTGTGTTTACTTATTTCTTTTAATAATTTATTTTAATATTTACTATAAATTGAAGCTTGTAGAAAGATTCAAATTTAATTTCATCAGCAAATACAGTTGTCTGTGAAAGCCTGAAAAAAATCTCACAATTCTGAGTTTATATCTTGCAATTCTGGACCTTTTTTGTTCAGTGGTGAAAATGGTCTTCCACAGTCTGCAATGTTGTTACACATTTGGCAAATAAAACATTGGGTTAATTTATGTATTTTTTAATTAATTCATTAATTTATTTGATGAAAGTTCATAACTGATTATTTCCATACATTTTTATTCGCTTTGTTCAGTGGAGGCCAGCGGCGGCGTGTCTCACTTGGAGCTGCTCTGCTTCAGAACCCACAGCTTCTGATCCTGGATGAGCCCACTGTAGGAGTGGACCCTGTTTTACGGGCCAAGTATGCACAACGTACCTCTATCTCCAGTATTCGTCCGTCTTTACCTTCCATCGCGTCTTCCCATTACCTTTATTAACCTTCTAATGCACTCATACTACTACTAGCACTACCAGTCTGTCTGTCCTGTATATGTGTTTGTGGATTAACCTTGTTCTGCATTCTAAAAGCATGAGGTTTTTGCCCTGCACCACTCCTTTCTCTTACTCTCTCTCTCTCTCTCTCTCTCTCTCTCTCTCAGACATCTCAGCTTAACATTTTAGCTTACATTCATAACTGTGCAGTTACTTTCCTCTTAAGTTAAAGGCTTTCCTAGTATCTTGTGTTTTCATCACACCTTGAAGTTCATTTCATGAACTTATTCACTTGTTCGTACTATAATTATTCAAGTGGCCTTTTCAAAGATTTGCCTCAGTGAATTGGTAGTATGAAGATCATTCACAATGCATAATGGGCAAACAAATCCCAGTGGACTCTTTTGCATGCCTTTGTTTGATCTTTCCATGTGAGAGTATCCTGAGTATGTGGCTTGCTGAAGATTATCCTGCCTTCTATAGGCTCAAGATTCCAACTCATTATAAACTTTTAAAGAAAAGAAGCTTTATGCTGTAAATTCTCAGTGACAATCTTCATTTATTCTTGAGTTTGAGTAATTCATGAACAAAAGGAAGTAAAGAACATGTAGAAGGAGCAGTATTCATGAAAGGAGTGAGTCTGTATGGGTTAAAAGAGGGTCACTGTGTCACAGTTTTGCATATGATGCAGCATTTACTAAGCAGAACATAGATGCAGGTATGTGAAAACTAGAAATATATAATTTTTAACCACAGCCCTCTGTTATTAGTGGTTTTATTACTTCAGAATGATTTATTGTTTAGAAAAGCTAATATCCAGAGAAACATGTTTTCTGCATTTCTATATTTAATTTTTAGGTTAAATTAATTCATTTTTATGCTGAGATCACATTCCAGCTAGACCCCGTTGAACCCTGCTGAAATCCTTTTACATAACAGACTATGGGCCAAGCCTGTCTAAGCCTTGAACCATGTTGGGGTGCTTTGCTTTGTAAGACACTAACCTATGCATTGTGTATATGCTAAGAATGTTAATTGACCAGACCACATACACACTACTGTTCTAAAGTTTGGGGTCAGTAAGATATGTTCACCAAGGTTACATTTATTTATCAAAAATAAAGTAAAAACTGAAATATTGTGAAATATTACAATTTGAAATAGCTTGTCTATCTTCAGTGTCAAATGACCCTTCAGAAATTATTCTAATATGCTGATGTGGTGCTCAGGAAACATTTCTAATTATTATAAATGTTGATAAAAATAAAAATTAATGGAAATATTATATGTTTTTTTTCTAAATTCTTTGATCAATTGAAAGATAAAAAGAACAGCATTTATTTGAAACATAAATATTTTGTAATATAAATGTCTTTACTGTCACTTTTCATTAATTGAAGTCCTTGCTGAGTAAAACTGTTAATTTCTTAATTTAAAAAAAAAATCTTACTGACCCCAAACATTTCAAAGGTGGCGTAAATCATTGCAATTTTTATGACATAGAAGTGTTCATGACTTATTGTTGTCAAAGGAATTTGGGCTCAAAAATCACCTGATTTTATTTCCTGATCATTTTTCTGCCCCTCTGTGTCCTGACACTTTCCACTTTATAACGGGTTGTGTTATCCCATGCCATTGTGGATTCATAGGTTTAATTCCCAAGGAATGTTTGTATTAATAAGTATATGCACTAAAGGTCGGTTGCTTTAGATAAAAGCATCAGCCAAATGCAAACGTGTAAATCTCATAGTGGCCTATTTACACCTGGTCATTTCATGCGTTTTCGCTGATCTGATATCTATCTGATTTGTTAAAACGTGTCCATTTACACTTGGCCACATAAATGTGTCGTCGCAAAACGGATATAAATCCGATCTTCAATTCCCGCGCTATATTTAAATTTAACGGAGTTCACGTCAACGAAATAAAAAGATAAGCGCTGCATTTGATTAATTATTAGTTAATTTGGAGAGCGCGCGGCATTAGCAACTGGAAAGATAGGTTAGTCACACCACTTTTAATGAAGATGATTGTGTGTTGACCGTCTGCGTCTTACTTTCAGTTTCATTCGCGGCAGTTTGCGCGTCGATTTGCCGAAGAGATGCTCAAGCTACTCGTCCGCGGCAATTAAGTAACTACAATGTCATATAGCCTATAACACGCTCTCACACGTTTAGTATTTTAACATTTTGGGAGGAGCAAAATTTACATAGGCCTATGTGGTTTCAACAACCAGATGCATTTACACTGGTCCAGTTTCGTCTGGAATGCGGCCCAGTCCACCTCCTGAAGTGGTTTGAGCGATCGGATTTATATCCGTCTCGAATGCGTTTCGGAGGGCATTTACACCTGGTCTTTTCACGATAGCTATCCGATCTGAAAAAACGCATGAAGTGACCAGGTGTAAACAGGCCGAAAGGTCTCCTATTGCGGGCTTTGATCTTGAAATGAGCTGATAATTAATAAAATGCAGCGCTTATCTTTTGATTTCGTTGACGTGAACTTCGAAAGATCGGATTTATATCCGTTTTGCGACGACACATTTGTGGCCAAGTGTAAATGGAAACGTTTTAACAAATCGGATATCCGATCAGCGAAAACGCATGAAATGACCAGGTGTAAACATGCCCATAAAGACAAAAGTTCCATAAAAAGCACAGCACTCATGCAACAAATTTTCCACTTCTACAGGATATGGCAGCATCTGGTAGACATTGTAAGAGGAGGACAGGTTTCTGTCATTATTACAACGCATTACATTGAGGAAGCCAGACAAGCCAATACGGTAAGATACCTTCCTGTTCTGACCACAAACCTGTACCAGAATTCACTCCCACTCTTGTTAAAATATAAAGTTGCTCAGTTTAAATGTAAAGCTATAGAACAGAAGTGCATGATTTAATAGAGTCATTCTTAGATATCTGGTGTGGGTGGGTGTTTCTTGCACAGCCGAACTACTCAACTCATTACTCATACAGATTTGTTTCTGTAATCCCTTATTATAGGTGTGACTCATTTGCCAAATGTACTTTGTACTGTGGCCTATTACACAACTTTAAAACTAGCTTTTGGCAAAAAAGTACAGGTGAGCTTTTATTTTTGAATTAGCAGACATTTTCTTTAAAAATAAATGCTGGGGTTTTAGAGTTTTGACTAGACTGTTTAATGGTATTGGTATTATTTTTACATGATAACTTATTTCATGCAATAATTAGGGTATATTACTGTATATTGTGTCAAAAAAGGCACTGGTATACATCAGACGAGAGATTCCGGCTGTAGAATTGGGAAAGATTTAAGTCAACTGACTCTATTGTTTAATTTTATTTCTGTTTGTCTTGAGGGCATGATGTCTGTTGTGTTCAAAGTTGCACATAATTTTGTCTGACTGTATAACGTCAACCAGACAGTTGCTACATCCTGTTGATATATTACTCTTGAGTCACATGCACAAACGACACAGATCGACACCAAAGACACAATCACAACATGCTTATTTACAGTAAACTCACTGACCCAGAACAGTGACGTGAATTTCTAAAAATGAGAAGCATTCCTTAAACAACAATACTACGCACTCCTTTCTCTGTCTGCCATCATTCTCTACTCGTAGGTAATGAGATCTCTGTTGTTTCTCTTAGACTTACTTTTGTTTCAGTTTTCAGCTTCTCCGAAAAACAGACTGTGGTAATCTCACATGTGTCTTCTTTGGAGTTTCAAAAGATTGTTACAAACTGTGCTCACGTTTGCCAAGTCAGAGGTCTCAAAATAACTCCAATATCTTTCCTCAAATTTCTACAAGACCAAATCATGTGAGCAATGCTGTTCACATTAAATTATAGCTCTGCTCCTGCTTCAAGTCAACAATTGTTTAATTTATTTCTATTTTTATTTCTCCTTGAGGAAATTTCTAAGTGAATCATCTTAGACTGATTTATACGTGAATTAATAACTAGTAATAGTTCACCCAAAAAATGAAAATTTGCTGAAAATGTCCTCACCCTCAGACCATCCAAGATGTAAATTAGTTTTTTTTTCTTCATCAGAACAGATTTGGAGAAATGTAGCATCATTTACATCACTTGCTCACCAGTGGATTTTCTGCAGTGTATGGGTGCCGTCAAAATGACAGTTCAAAGAGCTGATAAAAACATCACAATAATCCACAGCACGACTCCAATCCATCATGTTTTGGCCAGAAGCCACGGTTTAAAGTTAAACTGCCTTACTGATGGATTTGTTTCTTACAAACACAGCTTTTCACTTCTCAACATATAAATTGATGGACTGGTGGCATGTAGACTATTTGTGGATTATTATGTTGTTTTTATCAGCTGTTTGGACTCTCATTCTGAGGCACCCATTCACTGCAGAGGATGTATTGGTGAGCAAGTGATGTGATGCTACATTTCTCCAAATCAGTTCTGATAAAGAAACAAACTCATCAACATCTTGGATGGCCTGAGGATGAGTACATGTTCATTTTTGGGTGAACTATTCCTTTAAACCATTATACCATTAGGTCTTCTAAGCTATAAAAGAGCAACATGAGCAATAAAAACAGTGTTTTTTTCTGTCTCTTTAGGTGGGTTTGATGAGGAATGGTCGATTATTAGCTGAAGGTCCCCCGGATGCTGTTATGAAGCAACACAATGCAGCAGTAAGTGTGCACATACACGCACATATCTCATATGCATGTACTGTACATGCAAAATGGTTTATTTAACCTTTCAAATGCATCTATGTTTGTGCATTAGACATTAGAGAGTGCGTTCTTGCAACTTTGTGAGGACTCTGATCAGATGGGCTCCAAACAGAGTCCTCAGGGCCGTCCACTGGACAGCAGCCCATCTCCAGACAGTATGAGAGATGAGAGCAGAGAGCCCATACTGAGAAAGAGCGCACCAGAGGACATACCCAAATATAAAGGTACAACAAAGAGGGAGAAATTCACTTGCTCTAAAATACTGCATGCAAAACTTAAACTAAAACTGAAATAGAAATTCACTTTTGTATTGACATAAAATGGCACTGGTTTCATAAATGTACCAAAAAATATGTATTTAGAATAACAGTTTTTGATCACCGTTGAGACTGTGATGCTTGCAGTTGAAATGTTCTTGTGTCTCTACAGCTGACTGGAAAGTGCGAGCTAGACACATCATACCAAAATGGCGTAACATTGCAGCGCTGATGATCAAGACGATTGTTCGAATGAGGAGAATGCCAGGGTATTGATGTCTTAAAGTATTTATGGACCCTTTGGACAGACTGTGATTTTTACTGTGAAGCTTTTTTTTTTTTAATATTATTTCGTATTATTAAGCAAACTGAATAAATGGATGACTGCAGTAAAAATGGAATTAAACGTAATAACCACTTTCTTAAATGTACTTAAATATCTTACTGTTGTCCTTCACAAACAATCTCTTGCACTGTGCAGATTTCTGATAATCAAAGCATTTTAACTCAAAACAAAGTTTTGTGTACGTTCCTCTGGTTTGTACTCAGGTCCATTTGTTTCCAGTTCTTGTTGCCTGTAATTCAGATCTGTCTGATGTGCTTGTGTATTGGTGGAGACCCCAAAGGCATTGATGTGGCAGTGGTAAATAATGAAACCAGTCCCAGTGCCTATAGTAGATCACTACTGTCCTTCCTTGACAACACAAGTGTATACAAGGTAAACATAAAATTTAAAAAATAAAGATCCTGTGTAAATAGTACTAAAATTGTCTTTTGACAATATTATATCTTCTTTTTTATTCTTTAAAAAAATCAAAATTAGAGACAGACAGACTCTTATTCTCTCACTTCCTCTTTTCTTGATTTCACTTCAACAAATCGGAGAAAAAAAAACAACTTTATAAATAGTCAAGAGAAAAAACTGTACATTTTCAGTGTTCATTTCTAGATCAAAATACAGTTTCCTGTTTCCTTTCTGCAGGTGAGCTTGTCTCATTCTGAAGCTTTTGCTGGTATCTATAATGGGGAATACTGGGGTGTCATAGAGTTTGGGGAGAATTTCACCAGCTATCTAACCAAAAGGTGAGCTCCATTGTGTAAAAAGTTTATGAAAATGACCTGAAAGAACATGTTTTGCTTTGATGTTGTGACCAAAGAATGTCAGCCAAGTTTCATAATCCTGATCGTAAAACTCACCTTGAGAAAGTCACTTGTTTGTTCTGTCAAGTAAGCTGTCATTTGATCGTGCATGTTTATAAACACAAAAATTTGGACCATGCGTCTTGTTTGGCCAGTTCATTTACAAATTCTATTTTAACCAATAAACTCTATTGTTAACCAACACGGCAAGTAGATCTATTTTTGTCCAGCCTCTTTTTTGTTCATAAGAGGGCGACTTCAAATGAACTCATGGTGATGATTTTTCTGCATCTTCTTAAGGTGTCATAGATGTTCTTAATGCAATATTAGACCCATCCCTCGTATTAAGGGTTCACTTGCATCAGCTAATCATGCACACTCAAATATCATACACATAACACAAACACCTGCCTCATAGTCAGAAACACTCGACTGCGTCACTGCACACACCTACACACACCAGCCCTGTGTATTCACACACATAAACACAAGTACATACCAATATGATGGGCAAAAAATGACTGCATGTGAATGTTTTTCCATCTGACATTAAACATTAGGCCTGATTACGTCATCAACTACCTGTATGAGGTGTTTTCCCTTCAGCCTAAAAAACGCAAGCATTCATGTAAACAATGATGTGTCAGGTGAGAATGACTGTAGCAGAGCGACTGATGGGGAGAGTGTTGGAAGAGGCTAAAAGGAGTGAATCACCGTGTTTTTAATGTGAAGAAAAGCAGGTCTGTCCTGCCTTTCTGTGTTAGTCTTTCCATATGTGTCATGTTTTGTGCATCACTGTCCTGACTGGAGCTTTTTGAATATCACACATATTTATATTTTTCTTACTTGGTTTAAACATGACCCATGTTAGACGTAACAGCTGTGGCTTTAAATGGTAAATGAGTAAAATTGTTTAAATGTATGCTTATTTGTTCGTGTGCTTGTGTGTGTGCAGGATGCTGCAGCCCAGAGTCTCCAGAGATGTGGTTGAAGGAGGATCAGTACATGTTTGGCTGGATCTGACCAGTGAGTTTTATTCACTTTTAGTCCAATCAATATTACTTGGCTTTTGATTTCACTTGACCTCATATTGCTGCCACAAGAGGGTGCCCTTTATGTCTTGAGAGCCTTTATGGCTGTGGCTGAATTGAATCTCTGTTGAACTGATTTGCAGTGAATTTTGCATGAATCTTTGGAAATAAAGTGGGATTCAAATGTCTGAGACCATTATTAGCTTCTATTTTACATGCTTTTAATTAATCAATTTAGATTTTTTTTATTACATATTTTATGTGGTTAGATAAACAATTTTGAGTTAAGCAATTAAACTCTATTTCAGTATAACATTTGTACTCATCAACATTTCAGACCGACAAATTGCCCTGATGCTGCAGAAAAAACTTCATGAGGCCTTTGAGGTTAGTTTTAAAGATGCACATTTAAGTTTTTTCCCATCCTTTGAACACAAGAAACTGATTTTCCTTGTCTTATTCTGATCTTTCAAAAGGCTTTTATCGAGACAAAGCTGGGGAGTTTGTCATACATGGTGGCCGTCCCTATAAAAGTGAGTACAGAGCACTGATGTTCTTAATCAATGAGGAATTTCAAAGCTCGAATGAGTCATACACCTTTGTTCTCAATATTCTTTATGTCATTTTATTGTCTTTTTTTTTCTCTTCATCTCTGTCTTTTTCTCTTTTATCTAAAGCTCGAATGAGTCATACACCTTTGTTCTCAATATTCTTTATGTAATTTTATTGTCTTTTTTTTTCTCTTCATCTCTGTCTTTTTCTCTTTTATCTATTTTTTTTTTCTCTGTGTGCCTTTTACTACTATCCTCTCATATATCTGTCTTCTTTTTCTTTATATCTCGCTTTATTCTTCCTTTCTTAAAATACCCTCCTTATTTCTTGTTTCATGTGGTTTCATAGTTTGAAGAACCTATATATGGCAATAAGAACACAGATTTCACAACTTTTGTGACACCAGGAGCTGTTTTGAGGTAAACACACATGCAGTACATTCACATGTATGCCATTAATTATATCAGTCACAACATTAACACACACACACACACACACACACACACACACACACACACACACTTACAGCCATTCAAATGTATTACTACACTGACGGATAATACTACTGCATCATGATGGACCTCTTTCCAATATCATTTATCTCTTCTTTTCTTTCTCTTTTTAGCATCACATTTTACCTGGCAGTGGGGTTGACCGCTCTGTCCTTTGTGTTAGAGAGAAAGGAGGGGCTGCTGGACAGGTGCTGGGTGGCAGGTGAGACAGCTCACATCAACCAGATGGCCATCATTTGACTTAGGAATAAATTCAGTAAAGAATCGTGGCACTTTTGAATGGAGTATTTCAGCATAAAATCCTGTCTTGTTTCCTTACCACCCACAAACCAGGTGAATAAGAGCTGTCTCATTCACAACCCAAAACTTAGAGCTGTCCTGCAGAATGAGAAATTATGCCTATTTACACAAATAATGTTTAGCTCTAAACTTTTAGATTAGAATAAGTGGGCACATTTATTGAATTCAACCCTTACTTTTCATCAAGACTTCATGAACAAGCAGTTTTAGAGATTTACCAATAGAGGGAGCTGATCACCCACAGCAGCTAAAAGAAACATTTTTCCTGGTCTTATTCTGAACTTTCAAAAGGCTTTTATCGAGACAAAGCTGGGGAGTTTGTCATACATGGTGGCCGTCCCTATAAAAGTGAGTACAGAGCACTGATGTTCTTAATCAATGAGGAATTTCAAAGCTCGAATGAGTCATACACCTTTGTTCTCAATATTCTTTATGTAATTTTATTGTCTTTTTTTTTCTCTTCATCTCTGTCTTTTTCTCTTTTATCTATTTTTTTTTTCTCTGTGTGCCTTTTACTACTATCCTCTCATATATCTGTCTTCTTTTTCTTTATATCTCGCTTTATTCTTCCTTTCTTAAAATACCCTCCTTATTTCTTGTTTCATGTGGTTTCATAGTTTGAAGAACCTATATATGGCAAAAAGAACACAGATTTCACAACTTTTGTGACGCCAGGGGCAGTTTTGAGGTAAGCACACATGCATGCACATGTATGCCATTAATTACATTAATCACAACATTAGTACAGATGCACACTTACAGCCATTCAAAGGTATTAATACAGTGTCAGATAATACTACTGCATCATGATGGACCTCTTTCCAATATCATTTATCTCTTCTTTTCTTTCTCTTTTTAGCATCACATTTTACCTGGCAGTGGGGTTTATCGCTCTGTCCTTTGTGTTAGAGAGAAAGGAGGGGCTGCTGGACAGGTGCTGGGTGGCAGGTGAGACAGCTCACATCAACCAGATGGCCATCATTTGACTTAGGAATAAATTCAGTAAAGAATCGTGGCACTTTTGAATGGAGTATTTCAGCATAAAATCCTGTCTTGTTTCCTTACCACCCACAAACCAGGTGAATAAGAGCTGTCTCATTCACAACCCAAAACTTAGAGCTGTCCTGCAGAATGAGAAATTATGCCTATTTACACAAATAATGTTTAGCTCTAAACTTTTAGATTAGAATAAGTGGGCACATTTATTGAATTCAACCCTTACTTTTCATCAAGACTTCATGAACAAGCAGTTTTAGAGATTTACCAATAGAGGGAGCTGATCACCCACAGCAGCTAAAAACATGAGCAGCATAGTTTTAAAAACACCTGGTAAGCATTTCATAGATGTATGTGAATATATGTTTCTTTGTGTGTGTTTCTCTAAAGGTGTAAGTTCTCTGGAGACCATGCTGGCACACCTCTTCTCACAGCTGTTTGTTATCAGTGTTCAGATCATCCTTCTGCTGATCTTCATCCTGCTGGTCTTCAAAGTGAGTGTGTGTGTGTGTATGTGTGTGAGAGAGATGTGTGTTTGTTTGTCAGCTGTGTGTCTATCTCTCATTAATAATTTACATTAATGTCTACATCCACACTAGCGTTTTCAAGCATTTTCCATAAATTTCTCATCCACACTGAAACGCCAGTAAACTTTAAATTCGCTTTGCTACACGATCCAGAGGGAACAGACATGATACTGTACGTTTTTGTGCAATTCTTCTGGCAGGATAATTTTATTTAGGAAAATATCTCACCATTCACCATTCAATGTCCAGGTCGCATTCACTCACGATTGTATGTCAGATCTAAAATGCAACTGCCTTCATGTTTTGCCACAAACAGCAATCGCGAGTAAATTTTCTGTCATCTTTGCAGCACTGTGATGAGTGTACAAAGTAACACATCTGTAGCAATAGTGTGAAAGTGAATAGCACATAACAGGCACAATACCGGTATAAACATAGATATCTATTGGTACAGTATGTGTCACATTACTAAATTTGCATCATCGTTTTCAAAAGCCTCCGTTTTCACAGTCCACACTACAACGCGAAAACTACGTTTTCAAATATATCCACTTTGGACAGCATTTTCAAAAAGCTCGGTTTTCTTTGACAAAACGCCATCTCAGTGTGGATGGAAGGCCAAAATGGAGAGAAAAAGATGCGTTTTCAAACGAAAACGTATTAGTGTGGACAAGGCCTTAGTAGTCCACTGTGAAGTAGTGTACCACTGTGTAGTGTAGTGCAGGACTGTACACAATATTTACACAAGACCAAAAGCAATCTAAAGCCAAATTTAAAGCAATCAGATCCTCTCAACTTAGGTTTTAGAAGGATATTTAACCAGAATCTCTTTTTATTCTTTTATTAACAAATAATTAGAAATTTGTGATTAATACACACACACACACACACACACACACACACACACACACACACACACACTTACAGCCATTCAAATGTATTACTACACTGACGGATAATACTACTGCATCATGATGGACCTCTTTCCAATATCATTTATCTCTTCTTTTCTTTCTCTTTTTAGCATCACATTTTACCTGGCAGTGGGGTTGACCGCTCTGTCCTTTGTGTTAGAGAGAAAGGAGGGGCTGCTGGACAGGTGCTGGGTGGCAGGTGAGACAGCTCACATCAACCAGATGGCCATCATTTGACTTAGGAATAAATTCAGTAAAGAATCGTGGCACTTTTGAATGGAGTATTTCAGCATAAAATCCTGTCTTGTTTCCTTACCACCCACAAACCAGGTGAATAAGAGCTGTCTCATTCACAACCCAAAACTTAGAGCTGTCCTGCAGAATGAGAAATTATGCCTATTTACACAAATAATGTTTAGCTCTAAACTTTTAGATTAGAATAAGTGGGCACATTTATTGAATTCAACCCTTACTTTTCATCAAGACTTCATGAACAAGCAGTTTTAGAGATTTACCAATAGAGGGAGCTGATCACCCACAGCAGCTAAAAACATGAGCAGCATAGTTTTAAAAACACCTGGTAAGCATTTCATAGATGTATGTGAATATATGTTTCTTTGTGTGTGTTTCTCTAAAGGTGTAAGTTCTCTGGAGACCATGCTGGCACACCTCTTCTCACAGCTGTTTGTTATCAGTGTTCAGATCATCCTTCTGCTGATCTTCATCCTGCTGGTCTTCAAAGTGAGTGTGTGTGTGTGTATGTGTGTGAGAGAGATGTGTGTTTGTTTGTCAGCTGTGTGTCTATCTCTCATTAATAATTTACATTAATGTCTACATCCACACTAGCGTTTTCAAGCATTTTCCATAAATTTCTCATCCACACTGAAACGCCAGTAAACTTTAAATTCGCTTTGCTACACGATCCAGAGGGAACAGACATGATACTGTACGTTTTTGTGCAATTCTTCTGGCAGGATAATTTTATTTAGGAAAATATCTCACCATTCACCATTCAATGTCCAGGTCGCATTCACTCACGATTGTATGTCAGATCTAAAATGCAACTGCCTTCATGTTTTGCCACAAACAGCAATCGCGAGTAAATTTTCTGTCATCTTTGCAGCACTGTGATGAGTGTACAAAGTAACACATCTGTAGCAATAGTGTGAAAGTGAATAGCACATAACAGGCACAATACCGGTATAAACATAGATATCTATTGGTACAGTATGTGTCACATTACTAAATTTGCATCATCGTTTTCAAAAGCCTCCGTTTTCACAGTCCACACTACAACGCGAAAACTACGTTTTCAAATATATCCACTTTGGACAGCATTTTCAAAAAGCTCGGTTTTCTTTGACAAAACGCCATCTCAGTGTGGATGGAAGGCCAAAATGGAGAGAAAAAGATGCGTTTTCAAACGAAAACGTATTAGTGTGGACAAGGCCTTAGTAGTCCACTGTGAAGTAGTGTACCACTGTGTAGTGTAGTGCAGGACTGTACACAATATTTACACAAGACCAAAAGCAATCTAAAGCCAAATTTAAAGCAATCAGATCCTCTCAACTTAGGTTTTAGAAGGATATTTAACCAGAATCTCTTTTTATTCTTTTATTAACAAATAATTAGAAATTTGTGAAAAGGTGTATGTTTTTCAATGTATAAGCTAGATATGTTTATACATTGGCATTCAAAAGTTTCGGTTCGTAAGATTTTTATTTATTCATGTTTTTGAAAGATGTCTCTGAAGGCTGTATTTATTTGATAAAAAATGCAGCGAAAAAAGTACTAACACAAAGTATTATTACAATTAGAAAACTGAAGAAAGAAATTCATACAGGTTTGGAACAACTTAAGGGTGAGTAAATGATGACAGACTTTTCATTTTTGGGTGAAGTATCCCGTAAGGGGATATTCGAAAATGAAAATTTTGTGATTAATTACTCACCCTCATGTCGTTCCAAACCTGTAAGACCTCTGTTCATCTTTGGAACACAAATTAAGATATTTTTGATGAAATCCGAGAGCTTTCTGACCCTGCATAGACAGCAACACAACTGACATGTTCAAGGCCCAGAAACGTAGTAAGGACAACGTAGTACCACAACATATGCATGTGATACTGCTGACTCGGGAGCCAGCCTTGTTTACAAGCACAGGTATTCACACGCATGTGTCGTGGTACTCTTGTGAATAAAGTTGTTATTTTTGTTTTCTTTGCACATAAAAAGTATTCTCGTAGCTTCATAATAATAATTAAGGTTGAACCACTGATGTCACATGGACTATTTTAACAATGTCCTTACTACCTTTCTGGGCCTTCAATGTGGTAGTTGTGTTGCTGTCTATGCAGGGTCAGAAAGCTCTCAGATTTCATCAAAAATATCTTAATT